CAAAAAATAATAATAATAATTATTTAATTTGTAACCAGAGTAAAAATGTATTATATTCTTGACCTGGCTTAACTCTGCCAGTGTACGAATTTTAGAATAGAGAGACAATCTTTGGGAATGTGGGACAAGAAAGGAGAATATTAAGTGTTGTGTATGTATTGGAAGTGAGCATTTGTAGCTTAGAACTTTGAAGAAAGTGGAATACAAGAATCCATTTAAGTGAAATGGTGTGGGAAGTTTATTTTGTGGAGCAATAATTCAGTTTTATTTCTTCATAACTTCTATTGTGGAATATACAGAAAACGATTAAAACAAATTTTTTTTTTTTTCTGAGACAGAGTCTCACTGTGTTGCCCGGGCTAGAGTGCCGTGGCGTCAGCCTAGCTCACAGCAACTTCAAACTCCTGGGCTCAAGCAATCCTACTGCCTCAACCTCCCAAGCAGCTGGGACTACAGGGATGCACCATCATGCCTGGCTAATTTTTCTATATATTTTTAGTTGTCCAATTAATTTCTATTTTTAGTAGAGACGGGGTCTCGCTCTTGCTCAGGCTGGTTTCAAGCTCCTAAGCTCCAACGGTCGGCCCGTCTTGGCCTCCCAGAGTGCTAGGATTACAGGCGTGAGCCACCGTGCCCGGCCGATTAAAACAAATTTTGACTTAAATAATTATAAAGAGAACCCTCATTTAACTACAATCCAGGTCAGAAATAGAACATTGCCAACAAGTCCGGGTGTGGTCGCTCATGCCTGTCATCCTAGCACTCTGGGAGACCGAGGCGGATGGATCGTTTGAGCTCAGGAGTTGGAGACCAGCCTGAGCAAGAGCGAGACCCCGTCTCTACTACAAAAACTAGAAAGAAATGAGCTGGACAACTAAACATATATATATATAAAAAAATTAGCCGGGCATGGTGGCGCATGCCTGTCGTCCCAGCTACTCGGGAGGCTGAGGCAGAAGGATTGCTTGAGCCTAGTAGTTTGAGGTTGCTGCGAGCTAGGCTGATTCCACGACACTCTAGCCAGGGAAACAGAGTGAGACTGTGTCTCAAACAAAAAAAAGAGTAAAAAAGAACATTGCTAACAATCCAGAAACTCCAATGTATCTCTTCCCCAATCATAAATCCCTTTTTTCCCCAGAGATAATTTTTTCCTTGCTTTGCTTTATAGGTATCACCATGTTTGTATGCATCCCTGAATAATATAGTTTTGTTTGTTTTTGAATTTTATATATGTGGGCTCATACATTAATAGTCTTTTGTGTCTTGGGCCATGGAGGAAGTATTTGCAAATATGAAAAAACAAATGATCCAAATGAACTGCTCAGCCATATACCTGTAGATAAAACAAATTACTGAAGAAAAAAAGAGTTAAGTCTCTGAAAAATCTAGTCAGTTAGCTTCTAGCCTTCATAATTCACTGGAAAGGACAATGAGCCTAGATGATCTAGCATGAGCTCAGTAGGCTGCACAATATGGGCTGCTATGTTGGAGACATGGACCAGTATGCCATATAGAAAGCATGCTGGACCAGGTGTTGACCAAAGTACTAGAAAGCTCTATGATCAGTGTTAATGGCAGACCTGTATTCATATCATATGGATTCACAAGTAGAAACTTGAGTTCACTGGCATTGTGTTTCTAATTTATTTGGTTGATGTTTTATCAACTTTCTTACTCTTTTTTTTTTTTTTGCGGGGGCAGAGTCTTGCTTTCGTTGCCCGGGCTAGAGTGAGTGCCATGGCGTCAGCCTAGCTCACAGCAACCTCAAACTCCTGGGCTCAAGCGATCCTCCTGCCTCAGCCTCCCGAGTA